AGAATCGGATCAACCACCTCTGGGTGCACGGGATGTCCAACCCCCTGAGCCGCACCAGCCAAGGCCAACAACAAGGCCTCACTGCTGTGCCCTCCGGAGCAGTGAGAGAGAGACAGGTGCCCCGAGCAGTGTCAACAGTACGAGAGACCGTTCACCTTCCCCACACACCCCAGTGGGCACTGCTTAGCGACCGTTGGCCACAGCGGGGTGATGCCCACACCTGAACCAGTCGGGACGTAACGCCCAATATGGGCTCCAACACTCAGGACTCTGTTCTACACAGAGCAGGGAGCACCGAGGTCTGCTGTCCCTGAGCACACTGGGCGGCAGATGCCACCATGGGGACTGTCGGACGGCAGCGGCCTGGGCAGGTCAGCGTGCACACAGCTCCCGGAAGCTTCCCGCACACCCGACCCCTCCCGGCGGGGTGTGGGGTGTGCCTGGCTCACCTCTCAAATGGCTCCTCTCCTCAACCTCCTCCCTGGAGAGAGACCTTCCGCTTCGAGCAAGGTGCCGGCTGTGGCGAAAGGCCTTCCCACATCCCGGCCGCCTACGACCCTGCTCCCGTGTGGACTTTCTTGTGCTGCAGGAGCGTGGAGCTGTGTTTGAAGGCTTTGCCGCACTCCGCACACTCGTAGGCCCGCTGCTCCGTGTGGAACTGCTGGTGCCGGTTGCGGTAGGACCTGGTGGTGAAGGTCTTCCCGCACAGGCCGCACTCGTAGGGCCGTTCGCCGGTGTGGGCCTTCCCGTGCTGGTACAGGCCGGAGCGCGTCACGTACGCTTTCCCGCACTGCGTGCACGCGTAAGGCTTCTCTCCAGTGTGAACTCTCTGGTGGAGCACGAAGCTCTGGCTGTACTTAAAGAACTTCCCACATTCCCGGCACTCGTAGGGCCGGTCTCCGATGTGGACTTTCCGGTGCCGGATGAGGGTGGACAGAACGCTGAAGGCTCTGCCGCACTGGCCGCAGGCGTAGGGCCTCTCCCCGGTGTGGATCCTCCGGTGCAGCACCAGGGCGTCCTTGCGGCTGAAGGTTCTCCCGCACTCACCGCAGCCGAAAGGCCTGACGCCCGTGTGCACCTTCTGGTGCTTCCTCAGTTTCGACGGGTAGCTGAAGGCCTTCCCGCACTCGTGGCACACGTGGGGCGCTCCTCCCGTGGGGCTCTTCCTGTGACCGTCCAGGGTCCCGTTCTCCTCGGGGGCACCTCCGCCTTTGGGGCACCCGAAGGGTCTCTCCTCACAGTGAGTTACCAGGTGGTCGAGGAGCGCGAAGGCCTCCGGGAAGGCTGTCCCGCAGCCGCTGCACCTGACTGCCTGCTGCTGGCGACGGGATCCGGGTGGCAAGGGCTCCCAGAGCCCCGT